CCCCCCCCCCGAGAATGCTAGGCCAAGGCAGGTTCTCTATGTACACGGTCCTCATGGTGATGTCGCTGGTGCTGGCTAACCGGGACAGAGCATCGGCCTCAGCGTTCTCCGAACTGACTGGCTCCTTGTTGGCGACGGACGGTACCTGAGGAGATGGAAGAGAAGGATTCCCGGTGGGAATACTCCGATGCTTAAGTCAGAACGCTTGGGAAGGAAAAAGAAGAGTGCGAAAGCTAAGAGTGTAGGTCGCGCTTTTTCACTGTGCTCGAGAGATTAGCTCGCGAGCAAATATAGATTCCGCCTTCAAGTACGAGGGTGCGGAAATCTTCAAAAGTCTCAGAGAGCCTTTTCCCTTCTGCCTCAAGGGCTTTTATAGGGCCGTTCTTGTCAGATCGGGCGTAACCGCCACTGGGCCCCTACCACAGCCGTTACCTACCAGGGCTGTGCAGGTGGCCGTTGCGACGTACCCCTTGCTCGGATGGGTGATACGTCTCCAAAGGGCAGGCACGCCTCCGCCTACTGAGAAACGTGGGTGCAGACTGTCGAAAGGACAGGGACTGCGCCGTCAGTCAAGGGACGTGGCGCAGTTTGATCGGTACGGTCTGTCAGATAGAAGCTTCCTGAGAAACGCTCGCGCTGCTCACTTGCGAGCTATTTTGTAGCGAGCTTNATTTTGTAGCGAGCTTAGGACGTGGCGCAGTTTGATCGGTACGGTCTGTCAGATAGAAGCTTCCTGAGAAACGCTCGCGCTGCTCACTTGCGAGCAATTTTGTAGCGAGCTTAGGAATACTTCAGGGTTACCCTTCTAATGACTTTTCTGCTTAGGGGCTTGAGCGAGTTGGTTTCCCCAGCTCGCGAGCTAAGGTAGCCTCGGAAAATCCCCTTCGGGGTAGCTCGAGGAACCCGGAGCTCGTGTTGTAGCGAGCTCCTTCTTCAACGAGCTATGATATAGTGAGCTGTTTTATAGGCCTGTTACTTAGCCGTTACTAGGCTATGATGCTGAGTTGTTGCTCGTACTGAGTCAAATTCACGTGTCATCGTTTCATAGGTCGGGCCAAATCATCCTCCATCAGATACTTTACAACGAAATTAAAACTCACATATGCGCCCAACTGATGAAAGCTGCCCTGTTTCCACTTCAAACTCAGAAGAAGAACATGAAACAGAGAAGAAAAGAAAAGCAAGCTTGTATGTCATCGTTGATTACAGAAAAGTGAGTACTATTTGTAATTTCTATTTCTCTTCCTTTGTCGGTCCTACTCATTTTTATAGAAATTGTTTTATTTTTATGATTTGCTTTATAATTTTAATCATCAAGATAGTGAAAGCTTTGAAATTAGAAAGCTTTTTTGTTTTTTTTCTTAATCATCCGTTGTTCTTCTGTTTATTTATTTATTTAATCCATTGATTGGTGCAATGACTTAGAAATTAGAAAGCTTTGAAATCTGAATATGGGCTTTCCGTTGTTCTTCTGCTTTTTTTTGTGCTTTTCTTCTTTGATTGATGATGTAATGACTTAGAAATTATAAAGCTTTGAAATCTGAATATGGGGTTTTCCGTTGTTCTTCTGTTTTTTTTTTTTTTTCGAGCTTTTCTCCTGAATATGAGCTTTGAAATCTGAAAGCTCATCTGAATATGAGCTTTTCTTCGCGAGCTTCAAATTTGGGGCTTTTGTTGTTCTTCTGATGAACAATTGCTCTAGAATTAATAGGCGTTTTGAAAAAATTGGGAATCAGGGGTTTTTCATCAATCGGGTAATGGTAAAATTAATGAATAGTGAAGGGTAAATTTGATATTTTGTTTTCTTCCATTAGCACTTAACAGCAATATCAATTGTCAGAAAACTTAAGGGTAGCTTAATACAATATATAAACAGTAAGGGTACAGTTTGTCAATTTCGTGAACAGTAAGGGTAGTTTAAGAGATTTATCCTATTATATATTATATGTTATATATTACATATTATATAATGAATTTTGGTTAATTTGGTTTTTTGGTTAACCAATCTGAAAACTTGAACCGAAAACCAAAGTTTCCAAAAACAAATTAACCGAACCAAAAAACTGAAACTAAAATTTTCGGTTCAGTTTTTTTGTTTTAACCGAATAATGCTCACCCTAGCAAGGGCAGCTTCATCACTTCTGAGGTGATGAGACCGAGAGTCCCACCTGCGAATAGTTAAAAGACATTAGAGTCCCTAGGATGTAGTCCCACGGGTGAGGACTCTGATGATCAAGTTAGTCGAGGGCTCAAGTAAGCCAAGGTCTCAAAAACAAGAGCAATTGAGAGTAATGGATTGCATAAGAGCTCCGCATATCGGGAGTCATAAAGCAAAAGGCAATTAAGGTGTGACTTACGTGGTCGAGTGTTATCTTGCCATAAATGAGTTGGGGAGGGCTCGACTGAGGTTGTAACACCTATAATAAAGACTCCTCATTGATGAGGGTAGTCCACACCCACACCAGTCCACACCACACTTTTTGATTTCATGTATTTCATATATGTTTATGAATGATCTACACCAACTTTTAAAAAAATGACCTGAAAATGGAACCTTTATGGCCACTGGTTTCTAAGTCGACAGTCTAATTGTCTGGTTCGAATGGATGGCCCGTTCTAACAAACAAATTAAAAATTAATTAAAAATAAAAAACAATAAAAAACCATTGAACGGGTTGAACAGGTCGACGGGTTGACGGTTCGATTGCTCAGGTCAATAGGTTGTTGACTTTTTCAATGGTTTTTGGCCAAAAACCGAGTTTGGGGTAAAATGGAACCGCTTGCCTGGACGATTCCCGGGCCGAACAGTCCGACCACCTGGGTCAACGATGGTTCGAAAACCTTGATCTACACATTTAATCATAATTATCTAATTTTTTGCATTTTATATGATAAATATATTGAAAAATTCATCAATGAATTAATATTAACCATTAAATATTAATTTTTTATAAAAACAATAGTAAAATAATTAAAATTTTAAAAAATATATTTTAAATATTATTTTATTGATAAAATTTTACAATTTAAAAAAAATAAAAAATTAAGTAAAATAATTAACATTTTGTTAACAAAAATATTAAAATGTGAAACAGACAATAGGGTTTCAGCCTATGAGGAAATGTGTGAAGTAGGGGATTAAAAATCAAGTGTGGATGGTCCCTAACCACGAGATTTTTCCGTGGATGAGAAATTGGGGTGTGGATGGGACTGGTCCATGATATAACGTGGACCAGTTTTGGTCCCGTCCACAACATGAACACGGTGCCAAAAACCGCCTTAGTTCCTCTATATGGAAAAAAAAGGGTAAAAGACTTTCACACCCACCGAACAGTCATTGAACCAATCCAATAGCTATTTTTAGTCTTCTATACTCTCTCTCCCTTCTATTATCCATCTTTTTTTTTTTCGCTTCTTACCTTCCCTTTTTTTATTTTTTTTATTTACAAGGGTAAAATAGAATTTTTAAAATTTTAAATGACTTCAAATGTAACTTTTCATTGATGGAGGATATGTTTTAAGTCAATTTATGAAAACTCAAAGTATGATTAAGCCTTTAAAGAATCACAAAGAATTGAGGAAATATTAAATTTATTTAATTTAAAATACGAGTATATAAAGCCTAACCTGGCAAGTATATTTTTACAAAAAAAAACAGGCAAATATGTTATATATTAAAAAAAATTGATAAGATTATGCCCATTTTCACACAATAAAGAATATTTTATTGGTATGCCACGTGGCCCGATCATCAATCTATTTTTGCTACGTTGTGGTTTGTGAGATCACAGCCTTAGTCAACCATACATTGAAGTAACCACTTGTTACAATATGGTTTGAGGCAAGAAACCGGGCCAGATCAGCTGATCAGACTGGTTGAATTCTGACCACCCCTGGCTGGTTCGATCATATCCTAAAAACTAGAATGTGTTAAAAAGTGGCCAGAATTGTCAACCGCCTGGTCTAACTGGAAAGCCAGTGAACCAGACCTGGTTTCAGAAAATTGGCTGTTTTTTTTCAAATTTTTGGAAGCCATAATTTTGTGCATGGCTATCTAATTGGGGTATTTTTTTTTGGATAACTTTTCCCCATTTATGTGATGATAAGGTGATATACTACTATTTTTTTCGCAAGAAAAATGTCTTTTTTGACCTCAAATCCATTTTTTTATATTAAAAAAATAAAACTAAAATAAAATAATAAATGTTATAGCAAAATATAATTATATATTTTGTATATATATTACATCATAACGGTTTGACACATGGCTTAATATCTATCAAACTCTCAAACTCTCTGATGCATAAACCTCTCCCTTTTCTGCATCAATGCCCGATTTGATCCTGAACATTGATTTTACTTTTTAGCCCAGAATTAAAACCATTGCAATAGCAAAACGTGAGCTCTACATCAAATGGTTTTACTTCAAACCTTTAGACTCAGTTTGGAAGGAGTACAAATACATCTATATACAGTATAAATACATACAAAATTAATACATAGTTTTACACTACAGTTTGAAAAGATTACAAACACAAATACGTACAATATAAGGTTTTATACTGTACAAATTTGTATTTATAATCTTTCTAAACTGTGCCTTAAAATCACGTAATAGATCTAATAAGTGAACTTCCTGCTCACTCACCAGCGGGTGATGCAGGGCAGAAACAGAAAAACTATAACCACAATTTCTTGGACGAAAATGAGTAAAAAAAATAACATTTCTATATATATATATATTATTTGGGTACGTGTAACATTTCTATATTAATAACCAAAAATTAATAAAACAAAACACGCCGAAACACAAGCAACTCTTCTTCTCCTACAGTCCTACTGATTTCCTTTATTGAGTGACGGGCTGGGTCATGTGAGATAAGATGGGCTTCAATAGGACTGAACATGGGCTTGGGCCCTGTGTTTGAGGATCTTCTTCTCCAGTTCATCTTTCTTGGCACCTACAACCTTGTCAACTTCTTTCCCCTGTTTAATCAGTATGAAGGTTGGCATGGCATGCACCCCAAATTCATCCGACACCCCCTGATGATCAGAATTTAAAACAATCAAGAAAAAAACAGGATCAGATCATCCATGATCTATCCATTCAACGCTCAGATGCACCATCGAAACATTCAATAAAACAGAAATGGAGAGGGGAAAGAGTGAGAGAGAATACCATTAATTCATCGACATCGATCTTGACGAACTCCACGTCGTCTGTGTATTTGGCAGCGAACTCGTCGAGTGCTGGTTCCATGGATCGACAAGGCCCGCACCACGACGCCGTGAAATAGATCACCATCTTCGGTTGGGAGGAAAAAGAAAACATGAGATGATCCCTAACTATTAGGCTTAAATTTAATTCATATACATAAATAAATAGCTGGGAGAGAACCGTGTTTTACTGTTTTTTTGTTTAGGTGATTTAATTACCAGCTTAGTGGAATTTTTGCAGGAGTCGAAGTGAGCTTTCCATCGTTTTGTGGAATGGAATGCGACGATGCGAGACGCCTTCGATGAAAGTGGACTATTGCCACCATTGCCGGCAGGGAACACATCTTGCATGTCAGAGAAAGATGAACCCATCTGTTTTTTCTTTTTTTGAAGATGAATCGATCTCTCTTTCTTCCTTTCTTCAACAAAATACAAAATGTCGACCCACCTCCCTTCCTTCTCCCTGATTCTTCTCTGACTCCTAAATTCAAACTCCAAAGTCGTCAGACGCTCAGCGCCGAAGGGACGATCGCAAGTAAGATAGAAGAAAAGCTTGCTGGAGTTCGTCTGGGCGGGATGATCCCTTTATAGGCGCGAATGTCAGTGCCTCAGTGGCGATGTCCTTTTCTTTAATTGATGAAAGTTACAACGAAAAACTTGGAGCATAAGAATCAAGCCGGGGACCTTTTTCTTTAATTGATGTGGATTTTGCTTTCGTCCCATGAACTATTTTTAAATTTGAGAAGAAGGGAGAGTGGAGAGAGAGATTATGGTAGCATAAATGCTTCCTCTGTGGGATTAAATTCAAAGCTTAGTGCTGCATTATTCTTCATTCTTGTTATCTGTTCACCAAACACAATATTAATTAGAATCAGAATAGAAATTTCAAATAATATAATAAATCTATTAACCGGGTTCCATGAACGAGAGAGGAAAAGAATCGTGTTTGCTCAGCCCTTTGGCCATTTGTATCTAGCCCACACAGGCACAGTCACACGCTTAGTTGAGTTTTGATTCTTCCCGTCACATTAAAGCTGCGAACGTCACAACTCACAACGACGTCCACGTTCGTCGTTTGCCGTGTTTTCTTTTGATACACAAAAGGGATTAAAGCCCCTTTCTGAGCTGGGTTATTTGCAGTACAGCTTGAAGCGTAAAGAGGCAAGCCAGCTGACCAACTAACCATGTCAAAGTAAATCTCTTATCCACTAAATAATATTCTTGCATTTTCAATGGGTTCAATTCTGACGTTAGAAGAGTTCCAGAGTTTCTGATGGTGAAGCCAGCCAGTTGTTTCTCTTATTCTTTGTGAAAAAGGAGACAGATTTGTTTACGGAAAGGATTGGAGAGGCTTCTTCGTCCATCCATATTGAAGTCTTTCATTCATGCGTCTCTGTTCCTTGAACCATTCCTGAGATACAAGTTTTTCTTCCTTTCTTTCAAATCAAAAATGCCAATAGCCATTAGTTAAACATTTTTGGTGATAAATAGAGGGGAAGGTCGAATGAGTCGATGGTTTTGGTCCAATTCAGTCCATTCAATCCAATCTAATAAATATTTTGAATATTTTGACTGGTCCAATTTAATGTTCCAACCGTTCAATATATTCAAATTCATTTTAATTTAGATTGATTCCAACCCAAACATTGTCAATTGACACCTATATTCTTATTTTATATCAATGAATCAAATATTAGTCCAACCCAATGCAATCCAATATAAATTCATTTACGAATAGACTAGGTCCAATTCATTATATCTTGTTGCTCCATTCAATCCATCCAAATTAATTTTAATTTAAACAGTGTCCAACTCAAAACCAGTCCATTGACACCCTATTGGTAAGAACACCAGCACCCCCCAAAAGTCAAGACTCAAGACTGAACTATCAATGGATCTGATTCGGAACAGGGTGGATCAGTCTCCAATCTTATTAAGCGGTTCTATAAATAGAGACTTAGAAACGAACCGATTATTAATTGGGATAATTTGGTTTGACTTGACCTAATTAGATGTGATTAACTGATTATATTTGACAATTGACATCTATAATTATCTATAGATGTAACAATTTGGAATTTCGTTTTTGATGATATATAACCTTAATAAAAATAAACCCATGACGCAGTAGGCAGTAGTAGATGAGATGATTATTCTATCATCTCTTCGAAATTGGAGGCATCGATCAATGCATATTGCGCGCACCGTTTTAAAAGCCAATCCAGAACTGAAACGATTTGGCCACCGGTTTCTGCATCAGTTGTGAATCATTTGGTCTGATGGATGGCTCGTTGCAATTTAAAGAAAAATTTAAATTAAAATGGTCAAAAACCATTGTCTAGGTCCAATGAATCGATGGTTTTACCATCCAAGTCAGAAGGTCATCGATATTGCCTAGATGATTTCTGAACTGAACAGTCCAACCGTCCAAATTGATGACAGTTCAAAAACCATGGTATGCACAGTGCACTATGCTTTCTCAACCCCAAAACTAATATAACCAGTATTTGGTAGATCTGTAGATCTAATTAAGGATTAAAATATCGATACAAATATACACTTAATATGGGATGTATCATATTAATATCGATGTAGCTAGATATATTGGGATAGAGCGATTTACAAACATTTTGAAATTTTTAAAAGGTCTTACTTCTTAGACGTCTTTTCTAATTCCTAATTGATGGTGCGCAATCCGGCTGGTCCTAGTTGTCAACAACCTTGCCTCTGAACAGAGCTACAGGGAGCCCGAAACAGAGAAGATGAGGAAGCTCCGGGGGGAACCCGGTATGAATGCTCCGAAGCTCAAGTTAGAATTCTTAGGCAAGGTAAAACCAGATGGCACAAAGTTCACGTACCTTGTTCTTGGGGGGTAGGGAGCCTTTTATAGCCACCTCG